CAAGGTGATAAAAGACCTTCCATGAACCCCATCTGTCAAGTTTCAGCTAATTTGGTTAGAAATTGTGGCAAAACCTTCAAAATACCGAAAATCTATGTGGGGGGCAATACTGAAACTTGGGCCCATATATGATCATTTTCAATTTCAAGCAACCTGTATATAGAACAAGTTTGGCCGAGCCGAACTTTTAATACAATAAAAATAATGATAATTTCAAAAAAAAAAAAAAAATTCTTTGAAAATTCTGTTAAAATCTTAAAAATACCGAATGTAGCCGTATCTTATATATTCAAATGCGAAACTTGAAAAACAAAATTCGGTGAATAATATCGCTAAAATCATGAAAATACCGAATATAGAGAGGTACCGTTATATATGGGTTACGATGACATGGACATGCATAAACAATTTTCTGTCTTAGGCTGTAGTATCCATTAGGAACTTCAAATACCAAACTTGAAACAATTCCGATGAATAATGTCTCTAAAATCATTAAAATACCGAATATCGGGAGTTACCGTTATATGAGGGCTATACGAAGAAGTGCACCTTCACAGACAATTTTGTGTCATAAGCTGTAATATCCATTACGAGCTTCAAATACCAAATTTGAAAAATTTGAATCACCTAAATACCGAAAATATGGCGGTACCGTTATATGGGGGCCATACCAAAACGTGGACCATTTTCAATATCAAAAGTTCCGCATGCATAATATACATTTGGGAAAAATTGTATCAACCCATTTTATTTAGTTCGGAAGCTAGAGTGATTTCCACAGACGGGCGGACATCGCAAAATCGACATAGAATTTTATGCTGATCAAGAATATATATATACTTTGTGGGGTCTAAAATTTGTATTTCGAGGTGTTCCAAACGGAATGAAGAAGTTCATATACCCTCCATTGTATGGTGGAGAGTATAAAAAAATTAAACCCAACTTTATGACTCTAATATTCTCTTAAAGATCTACTTAATAGCATAAAAAGTCTCTTAGAAATTCTTAAAAGCCCTAAAATGATTCTTTTTGTTTTCCTTATCCCCTTTTTGTTATATGTGTTCCCTTTTTGCTTTTCCCAGATAAAGATTTTAGAAATCAACAAATTTTTAATCAATTATCATTGAAAGTATCAAGACCACATTCCCCTAAATGGCCCAGTTTTTCCACTCCACTTTTCAAGTACACCCCGCTTTCCCTTTCTTCAAATTAGAGAGTGGGAGAAAGAAAAACTCATTTCTTTTGCACGTCTTCTTGCATACCAATTCTCAAAAGAAAATTATATTAGATTATTTTTGCTGCATCAGCAGAAAAATAAAGTCATGACTGCATTATCGAGGGGGTGAGGATGAGGGAGAGAATGAAAAAGAAACACAGTTACCAAAAGCGGAAAAGTATATAAAATTATTTAATTTGCCATAAAAAATGGAGAAAATGATGAGCAAAAAGAAAAATGAGGAGCAGAAGACATGAAACTCTGCCATCATAAATACTTTTTGTCGAAGCGGGATTTTTACCGCCACTCCGCCAACACTTGGCTAAGTTCTGATTGGATGCGAAGTGTTGACCATCAAGTCAACACAACATAAGACGGGCAAACAATTTAAGCACGATGAGGGGGTGTCATATAACACCGAACGAAAAAAAGCAACTATGTGGTGCAGTTTTTATAACTTTTTTTCAGTATTTTGCAAGTTTAGCGTTTTTTTTTTCACTTTTTTTTTTTTGCTTCTCCATTTCTTATGCCACGTACTACACCTTTAAGTGTTGGGTAATGAAAGTTATCACGGTGTTGGTGAGTTAGTTTTTCTTGAAGAAAATCACGTCCGAAGAAAATTGTTTTGTTTGCCACGTTTTCGAAAAGGTTTAGTTTGTATTTTTATTATCCTTGCTTGCTTGCTTGTTATCCCCCAACGACCCTCTGGCCATTTTGTGGAGAAAGAAAAATGGGAAAAAAGAAAGAAGGGTATTGCAATTCTAAGTAATCGAAATTCTTATTAAATGCTCGTTAGAAAGTTAAATCAACTTTGTCATAATATCGGCAATAAAAAAAACAAATATATCCCTTTCTGGAATAGAAAAATCGAATGGGAAAATAAAGTTGCTCGATTTCTTCCACAAATGTGTGTGTGAATATGCAATTGTATTGGCATTTCAATTATCTGCATTTTAATGAACTTTTATGCGGCTTAATTAAAACATTAATCATCTGACAAGAATGTAGCACAGATTTTCATAAATATTTCACACTTTCGTACCCTTCAATTCGCACTCCAATTCAATTTATATTTAATCCCTTTCAATGAATTCCAACTAATGCTTCAATTCTGCTGTTAATTTTAGAATTGAAATTTTAATTAACGCTAATTAATCTGCAGTTGATTGGTACTTTTGAAATTACTATGAAGTCGACTGTAATCGACAGTTGAAACCACACGAAGGTGAAAGTGGATATCTGCTATGCAATAAATGTTAAATTTTTACACCAAGCTTGGAGTAAGAAAATCCCCACTCTGTATCAACGGTGCGTATACGTGATGTCATGAAGTATACGCACCCATGCATATGTAAATGGATATATTGTTTGATTTTATGGAAGGCGTTGATGTGTAAAAATATGATATTACAGAGTCAAGTAATTGAGAGCAGATAAATTTACCTAGAATTGGGAACGTAAGTGGGTTACAATTTTAAACCCGAATTTTTTGTTTAATTAAAAAAAAAATTATATGTAGTCATTTCAGACGCATAATTACGGTTTTTATGTTAACATGCCTCTACTGTAAAAAGTGCCTCCACAAACTCCACTACAAAAATTCTTAAATATTTAAAACTATGGCTCATATAGTCTTTCGCAAAATTCTTTTAATAAACAAAGATGACTAAAAAAACATTCCTTGGAAATCCATAAATATATGTGCGATAGTCCTTCTAAATATTAAAAAAAAAAAAAATAATCTATAATATTCCTAAAAAATTTTTAGATCCTTAAATTTATGATATTGCCCCAATTTCCTATAAATCAAAAATTCACAGTAATGGCTATAAAATCTCCTTGAACCTTCCTTTTTAAAATCCTCGACAAAGGCCATAATTTCATTACAAAAATCCAGACTGTGTATGTAAGCCATCCTTTCAAGATAGTCCTTCTTCTTTTAATCTACGATTCAGATTCTGATAATATTACCAAAAAATAATCATACAATGAAGAGTATATTAAATTTGTCTTTCCGTTAACAAGTCCTCCAAAATTTCGTCGGAAACTCCATAAAAGTACATACAGGGTGAGACGAAAAAACTGTCAACAACTTCAGATTGCTGCCACTCGTCCTACAGCTGTTAAAATTATTCCAGTGAGAGCTCATTATTGTTGTTTACAAGCTTACAAAAGCATTTTGGTGAGAATTTTCCAAAAAAAAGTTATTTGTGATGAAATTCAAGGGTGATAGTGTGATTTCTTTATATTTGGCTGGAAAACCACAAGTGGCTATCGTTAGAGGACTCCAGCATTTAAATGTGAATAAATCTTTTGTGTCTTGTACCACCACTCGTTACCGAGATATTGGTAGCGTAACCCAACGTCAAAGAAGTAGACGGAATAAAACAGCAACATCAGCAGCAATGGTTCGAAAAGTAGCGAAGCGACTTGATTGAAATCCACGTCGCAGTGGCCGAAAAATGGCTCGTGAGCTGAACATATCGCAATACTTCATTTGGCAAATATTGAAAAATTAGCTCGTGGTAAAGCCATTGAAATTTCAAAATCATCAAGAACTTACACCGCAACAGAAAGAAAATAAACTCAAAAGAGCTAAAGAGTTGCTTCGTTTGGCCGAAAATGGGGAACCGCCGAATTTGGTTTTCTCCGATGAGAAAACATTTGTTGTCCAGCAGTTTGTCAAGAAACAAACTGATCGTGTTTACTTGCCAAAGAGGTCAGCTGAAAATGTGCACCTTCGGTTGGCCACCAGAACTCAAGCGTCGGCCATGGTGATGGTGAGGGCCGGCAAAACAGCCGATGGTCGCTCTCCGCCCGTATTAATCAACCGTGACATCTGAATAAATGCCGAAAATTATCTGGAGGGTGTATTAAACCCTCGGGCACGCAAACATTTTGGCCGCAGACCTTAGGTATTCCAACAGGACTCAGCACCATCGCACTCAGCACGCGCTACCCAAGAATGGTTACAATATTAGGTTTCTCGCTTCTTTTCTAGCCCACAATGGCACCAAAATATCCGGATACCAATCCGTTGGACTATTGTGTCTAGATGCTTTGGAAAGCAAGGTTGGCACTAAAAAATACCAAAGTGTCGATCGTCGGGAATGGTCCAAAATACCGCAGAGCAAAATTCGGGCAGCATGTGACGGTTTCATTGGCCGTTTGAAGGCCATAATTCGTGCCAAAAGTGACCAATTCGAAGAAATCTAAACTTATTCTAAAATTTTATGCTATATCCGGCATTTTTTGATTTTATTTTATTAGGCTTTGATATTCCTTCAAATTATGCTTTTGAAAACGTAAAGAAAATTATAGTTTGAAAAAAACTTGAATTATCCTTCCATTTGCTTCCGCTAGTATTTTCTATCAAATCAGAGGGGCATAGTTTAAATTGGAATGTATTTTGGAAATATCAGATTTCAAGAATCTTTGAAAGAATATTTTCTAGTTAGTCCTCGTTTCCATATAAAGAGTTGGCATATAACGTATTACGGAAGTACGATTCTACAAAACCACATTGGTATTTATCATTTTTATCAAAATCAAATACATTGCATAGTTCCATAAACAACAAATATTTCACTAAAACTCTACATAATAATATACTCCATATAATATACAAAACTTCTTTATTAACTTAAATCCACAAACCAATTGTTTACCATTCAAATTTAAAGTCTTAAACCAAGTGCACACACACACAGATACACATACCTGATAAAAATGCAAATATACTCACATTTCTAATGGTTTTGTTTTACCTTCTTCATTCTTTCAGTTTATTATAACCCAGCCACAATGATGTTCCACAACTATAACAATGAAATGAATTTAATTATCAGCAACAACAACAACTACTACTCAGCCACTCTACAGGAAGAGGTAAGCAATACTAATAATAATAATGGGAAAAAACCACATAAAAAACAGCAGATGCGTAGAAGTTAAAAATAGAAGAAAAACTTTGCTTCTCTATTAAAACAATCACAAATGGGGGAAAGAAGGAAGCTATGGTACAATAATAACAACAAGAAAAAGGTACAACTGACAAGACTTCAATGTGGTTGTTGAGCACATAACAATATCCGATCTAAGGTTGTTGTAGCATCCTTTTTCATTAGAATATGTTTTACTTCCTTAAAGAAGGACTATTACAATAGAGTAGGTAGGATTAACACAATCTGGGTAATTGCTGTAGGAAAGCCAAATACACATTTTGAAAACTAAAAGGTTTTCTATTAAAAAAGAAAGTTTTTGTTTATAATAACTAGAACAACATGGCTTTTTAAGTATCTTCCCTATTCGATTAGAAAGACATGAAGAATGAGAAAAGTTCGAAAGGCATCATTTAACTGCAAACTTAGAGAGAAATTCTATATTCCAAACATACGCATTTGCTTATTTTGACCCGTATGGTAATCCATTCCTTGCCAAAATGCAAGGTTTTCACTGTTAGAACCTCCGAAACAAATTGTTTACTGGCAATCCGATTAAAATTGCAACCCGTAGCCTTATTACAAGGAAGGACGCACAAAGGTTGACCGACTCAACTCATGGTGATATCTTGTCGCCAATACAAAGTCTACTGTAAGACTATTACCACATAGATCTTATCGCAGACATTGGCAAAATTGATTTGACGTAAGGGTTTATGACGAATTGGAAACTTGGAACTTGGAAAATGTAAAAAGAAAATTCATTAAAAACTACCGCTATAATTTTTAAGATTCCAAATATCAGGTGTTACAGTTATATAGGACCATATTAAAAAGTGGATCTCTATGATCAATTATCTGCCATGGGTGGCAGTTTGAGATGATTTTGTTAACAAATTTAGCTAAAATCATCAAAATATCGAATGTCAGTTATATTGGGCCTATACGAAAGCGTGGACCTCTACAGCCAATTGTTTGCCAGAGTAGGTGGTGCCTATTACGAACCTCAAATACATAGTTTGAAAATATCCTCTTGAAAATGTAGCTAATATCATCAAAATACCGAATGTGGGGAGGTACCGTTATAAGGAGGCGTGGATCTGTACAGGAAACTTTTTTCATAGAAGGTAAATATCGAATGTCAGTTATATCGGGCCTATTCGAAAGCGTGGATCTCTACAGCCAATTTTTTTGCCAGAGAAGGTGGTGCCTCATATACCAAGTTTGAAAATATCCTCTTGAAAATGTAGCCAATATCATCAAAATACCGAATGTGGGGAGGTACCGTTATAAGGTGGCGTGGATCTGTACAGGAAACTTTTTTCAAATTTTAAATAAATCCAAAGAAAACTGTGACACAAATCATCAGAATACTGAATATCATGTGATACAGTGATATGGGGTTAGGACATATATTTTCCGTTCTCGGCAAAGATCTTTTCTACATATTGGGAAGACATATTCCCAATTTACAGCAAAAAACCTCAAATCTGTCGGTACAGTTATATGGGGACTATATCGAAACGTGAGCCTATATAGCTCATTTTCTACGCAAAAATCCTCAAGACTTAAACACACATCTGAGTAAAATTTTATCAGCCTTTTTCATTTCGTTCAGAAATTAGAGTGATTTCCACAGAAGTCCATCTGTCTGCTTGGGAAGCACATCACTAAATCGACATAGAATTTTTGGTCTGAAATATATATTTCGAGGTTTTACAAGCGGAATAAAAATCATACCCTCCCTTCTATGGTGGAGGGTATAAATAAATCATTTATGTAGGCCCTCTACCTCAACAAAGCCGACCTCCTAATATCCTTGGCCATTTGGAAAGTGAGTCTTTGAAAATAAATCTATAAGATCCAGAATTCGAGCGGAATATATTGAAATTCCAAACTCAAAAAAGTCCTTTGGGAAATTAGAGAGGTACCCTTGTATGTGGGCTATAAGAATGTATAGACCAATATACACAATTTTCTTCGAAAAGGGATGGACATTTTTAACAAAACCCGCATCATGCCACTTATCAGCTAAACTACTTTATTCGTCAAAAATCGTCATTGTCGACTTTTGTGTACATTTCCTATCTATTTCTCATCCATCTGACGTTTTGCCAACTAGCCGTCCCCAACAGCTGGCAGCGAATATCGGTAAGCCTGAAAACAGAAAGTTTATCGCTTCCCAGAACTGCTCCACATTTAGGAGTAGCTACTCTTTTCAAAAACTGTGATGTGCTTGAAACCCTTGTTCAACTGATTTTAGAATCAAGAAACTCAATGTGAAGGTCATCAGTTACTGCAGAATCATAAATGTGACAACATTGGAACAGGGTCCGCCTTATAACGTTTTTTAAATGCTATAAAAACGGACTACCGATTATTTTCTCAAAACTTGTTTCTTTTTTGAGAAATTTTTTCAACTGACTGCCCCCGCAGGCCATACAGTAGTAGCCTATACCACTAGTCCAATTTTTAAGAACTTTATCGATTGTGAACACCAGTTTATCACTAATGGCTTCACGTATATCGTCTCTTAAAGCACCACTTTTCTCTGTTTTGTCGGGTTAACACTTATCTTTGACGGGGCCTCACAAATAATAGTTCAACGGTATCAAATCGTTGCTCCTAGGTGGCCAACCTACATCACCTCTGCAACACATAATACGAATTTTTTATCAACAGAGCGCAAAGCTCGAGTGTAGTTTCGGCTGTGTGGCACTTAGCACCGTCCTGTTAGAAACAAATATTGTCGATATCCTACTCTTCAATTTTAGTGATCAAAAAATCGTTCAATATGAACCGATAACGCAACAGCCACTCCTTGACCAATATCAACTATGCCTTTGGACTAAAATACGCACCGAACATTGTATCGGCTTTTCAATGTAAGCGTACAACAAGGTGGTCATGGCAAAAAAAAACGAGATAGAACTTTTGATAACCTGCATAGAATCACTTTCTGAGCATGTCAGTCCGTCTGTCTGTTCGTCCAGGTATTTTTGTGAACGAAATGCAGGTCGCATTTATTATCCGATTGAGATGAAATTTTCCACTAAATATTTGTTTGATCGAAGAACGAACCCTATTGAAGTTGGTGAAAATCGGTCCAAACTTATATATAGCCCTATATATATATATATATATATATATATATATATATATATATATATATATATATATATATATATATATATATATATATATATATATATATATATATATATATATATATATATATATATATATATATATATATATATATATATATATATATATGTATATAAATTTTACAGAGATCGGATCGGATTTTGATATAGCACCTAAAAAGTGTAATATCAACTCAAATAGGATGGAATGTAATGAATATCGATTCAGACACAAATTCCTCCGCAAATTTAGTAAAAATCGATTCAAAGGCGGATATTCCTCTCATATGTTAGTTCCTTTGGACTTTAAATTATATCTATAATCATGATATAATTCAATTACACTTTAGATGCAGAATTTCGAGTTGGTATTGAAATACAGTAAATATTAGAGATTTTTTAACCAATCGTTACTTTTTAGCCAATTAGTTCGGTTTAAGAGATAGTATTGTTGGCGCACCAAGCAAACAAAAGCCTATGTATATGTATAAATATATGCATTTATTTTTAGCGGACAAATGTTTGCTGGATTATAAAATTTCTTAAACATAGGCCGCAGCACTCCAGCAGGATCATTTATTTTCCTTGAATCCCCTTGCACAAGTAGCACAAGTGTGGATGATATGTTTCGCAAACTATTACCATCCGGCCGCAAAACAATGACTCGAACAAACTACAAGAAAACACACAAATCACTTACCTGTCTAGGCATGACTTTCGGAAGAAAAAATGGAAATCTCAACAACATTTGAAAAGGATAAGAAATGAAAATGGCATGGAGCGAAGGATATGCCATAGAAACGAAAAGAAAAGAAAACCATGACGATAATAACAGTTTCAATGCGGCTACGATGGTAATTAATACTGAAATTCGAAAAAAGTAGAAATTGCAGGCAGATAATTGCATAAAGTCTAAAGTCTGAAGGATGTTTTCCAGCATATAGACAGCTGAATGTGATTTGAAAAGGGTTTTCCTTTCCTTTGATTTCATGCTAAATTTTGAGCTTTAATTTTGTGGTGTTTTCACTGCAGAATAGTTAGGCTGGTAGTTTTCCAACTCAGCTTAAAGGGGCAATAATCAAACTTCTTGCAATTCCTCTTTCTTTCCTCTTTTGTTGCTATCGTTCTTCTTCCTTTGTTCTTCCATTCAAATGACTTTTGTTCATTAATTTCAAAACAAAAATATATACTTCATCTTTTGTGTTTGTTCACAATTCCTATTCTTTTGTTTTAACATCCATCCTTGGTTTCTATGATTCATTGCATATGTTTCCCTTTCCCTACGAGTTATTGCGGCAAGTTGTTTTCCACAACAAAAGTTTCTTTTCCACATTTCATTTTGCGTGATTTGTTTTTTCTATTACTTCTTTTTATTTTTTGTTTCTGTAGTCTGTTCCTCGTTTTGCCAAAGAAGATTGTAATAAGACTATGAAAGATTACATTGCTGGTTTTTATTACACTTGATTAATGGTTGTTCAATGCAGTCAAGCGTTGAGGATAGGATAGAATAGGATATAAGGAAACGGATGTTCTCGGAAGTCATAAATATTTTGTGAATTATTTTGTAGCGGAATTTTGTCTTTCCCATAAACAGATAATTTGTAAATGCCATATCATTGTGGCTAACCTGCAAATAGTCATAATATCTCCTCAAATTAACCAAAATAGTTTAATGGTTTTGGACTTTTGCAATGAAATAAAATCATTAATCATTTTGCTAGACTTCCAATATAATAATTATCATCAATTAAATAAAGTAAAACAAAACAAAACAGATATGGTCAAATATTTAGTACTAATG